GGGCTTTCATGCCCTATATGTTCTCATGATCAATACAAAATGTATCTAATAACCACCGTCTCAATTTTTCGACATCAGGGTAAGGCATAAAAAGATCGTATACCTCCTCTTCCATCATTTGTCGACTAAAATAATCATCATACCAACACAATCAATTTTAACCGAGATGAGGGACAGAAGCAAATATATAGGGCTTTCATGCCCTATATGTTCTCATGATCAATACAAAATGTATCTAATAACCACCGTCTCAATTTTTCGACATCAGGGTAAGGCATAAAAAGATCGTATACCTCCTCTTCCATCATTTGTCGACTAAAATAATCATCATACCAACACAATCAATTTTAACCGAGATGAGGGACAGAAGCAAATATATAGGGCTTTCATGCCCTATATGTTCTCATGATCAATACAAAATGTATCTAATAACCACCGTCTCAATTTTTCGACATCAGGGTAAGGCATAAAAAGATCGTATACCTCCTCTTCCATCATTTGTCGACTAAAATAATCATCATACCAACACAATCAATTTTAACCGAGATGAGGGACAGAAGCAAATATATAGGGCTTTCATGCCCTATATGTTCTCATGATCAATACAAAATGTATCTAATAACCACCGTCTCAATTTTTCGACATCAGGGTAAGGCATAAAAAGATCGTATACCTCCTCTTCCATCATTTGTCGACTAAAATAATCATCATACCAACACAATCAATTTTAACCGAGATGAGGGACAGAAGCAAATATATAGGGCTTTCATGCCCTATATGTTCTCATGATCAATACAAAATGTATCTAATAACCACCGTCTCAATTTTTCGACATCAGGGTAAGGCATAAAAAGATCGTATACCTCCTCTTCCATCATTTGTCGACTAAAATAATCATCATACCAACACAATCAATTTTAACCGAGATGAGGGACAGAAGCAAATATATAGGGCTTTCATGCCCTATATGTTCTCATGATCAATACAAAATGTATCTAATAACCACCGTCTCAATTTTTCGACATCAGGGTAAGGCATAAAAAGATCGTATACCTCCTCTTCCATCATTTGTCGACTAAAATAATCATCATACCAACACAATCAATTTTAACCGAGATGAGGGACAGAAGCAAATATATAGGGCTTTCATGCCCTATATGTTCTCATGATCAATACAAAATGTATCTAATAACCACCGTCTCAATTTTTCGACATCAGGGTAAGGCATAAAAAGATCGTATACCTCCTCTTCCATCATTTGTCGACTAAAATAATCATCATACCAACACAATCAATTTTAACCGAGATGAGGGACAGAAGCAAATATATAGGGCTTTCATGCCCTATATGTTCTCATGATCAATACAAAATGTATCTAATAACCACTGTCTCAATTTTTCGACATCAGGGTAAGGGATAAAAATATCGTATCCCTTCTCTTCCATCATTTATCGACTAAAATAATCATCATACCAACACAACCAATTTTAACCGAGATGAGGGATAGAAGCAAATATATAGGGCTTTCATGCCCTATATGTTCCTCATGATCATTACAAAATGCATCTAATAATAACAGTCTTAATTTATTGACATCCCTCCTTTGCTTGATATAAAGTCTATTGGGTATTGAAAAATAACCATTGAAACTAGCTCTGAAACAAATTCTTAGTGGAAAATGTATCTAGGAATGGAGCTTAGCCCATTAGTAGTCTTAAACCCTAACCCGTAATGCGGGTGTAGGTATTGGATACTCAAGGAATTGATATTCACTATCCGCACCTAGGCTCTTGCTCTGAGGGATTAGGTTTGAGTAAACTTATGGGTTGACTAAGCAATGAATGTAACAAGAAATTAAAGATTCATTAGTGTGACGTTCGGTGATTTCTAACCCCACAATCTTACAAAACCACAATACCATTTCTACCCTTTCCACACACAAAACAATCAGTTTTATAGTTTTAACATTCCATAGGTCATAACTTTTATTTGAATTGCATGACAATCTATGAAAATGGAATTATTCTTTAGTCACGAATAATCAATAAATGCTTATTTTACCTACTAATCCATGTGGATACGATATAATTTACTACTTGAATGGCCGGTATACTTACCGTGTTTGAGTCCGTTGAGAGAATTAAAATGATTTACAATAATAACAAAAGTAGTTTTAACGGAAATCTCAACAACGTGTCATTATAATTTTTTAAATAATTAATAAATTAGTGTATGGATAATTTTTTTGAATTGTATGTGATTTCATGAAATTTCAAGAAACGCTTATGTGATTTACTCTAATTTTTTTTATATAATATTTACTCTAAAATCCATACTTATAATGATTTGTGATAGATCAATAATGAAGAAAAAAAATACATCGGTGATCCATGAAAACTAAATGTTTATTTACTACCTTTTATAAGATGTAATGTACTTTTTAGAAAATATTAAATTATGTTTTTTTTTCTCTATTAAAGATTTTAAGGATATGTATTTTTCTTTTTCTTTTCTTAAATTTTATCCAATTCACATTTTTTAAATTTTGTTGATATTAAGGCATAAGTTTTGATATAAGACAATATCTTCATCTCTTATAAAATTATAATGATAAATAAAAAGGGTAAAGTTGATAAATCATGATTTTGTTTTATAGATTTAATAAAATTAACTAACATAACTATTTATATTGATTTTTAATAATTCACCCTTAAAAATATATTCTCATAGAAATTGAAATTCATCTTTGAAGTATTAGAATTTGGTAATAAGTTTATTTTAATCGGTTCTCAAGTTATAAATAACTAGTATTTTTAGTGTACAATACATATATTAAATATTTATTGTATATAATTAAAATTTTAAATAAATTATGTATATAAATAAATATTATATTTAAATATATAATTTAATTTAAAATTTGAACAAATAAAATTTTAAATATATAAATTTTATTTTAAATTTATGATAAATAATTTATATCGTAACATAAAATTATTTTTATTTATTTATAATTTATTTTAAATATATTAAAATTTAATTTATAAATAGTTATGATAGATAAAAAATTGAATTAGAAATAAAATTAAAAAAAAAAATTAAAGATCCTTTTAGAAACTCAAAAATGATCTCGCACTTGTAAGTTGATTGGTTAATGTGATGTTGACTATGTTGAAAATAAAATAGAACAAAAAAATAGTAGTAGTAAATAATGTGACTTCATTAGAAATAACTTAATTTCCTAGTCAAGTTAAAGACAAACAACCATAACTTAATTTCCTAGTCAAGTTAAAGACAAACAACCATAACTCCTTTTAAGTTTTGTGAATCAAACATCAACCAGAAGATTATAGTATATTCAAGACTAAAATTCTCATTTTTTTGTGATATTATCGATAACCTCTAAAAATTCTATTTTACATTCAATAGAAAAACATGTTCAAGTTAAGCATTTTCTTATTGTAGATGATGTTCAATAAAGGAATTATTGATCTTTAGTTTATTTCAACCGAAAATTAAGTAGCAGATATTTTCACAAAAAAAACTTTTTTCTCTTTTAAAGATAAACTTACTCATTTCAACCAATGAAAGGTTATTTGAAATATATAACCTATGTTGTATAGTGGCGGGTTGATGGACCAGTTTGTCAAAACTCACTAAAAATCAAAATAAAAATATTAAATATTAAAAAATAGTAATTAATTTATAAACATTCAATTTATTTTATAAACATGTACAAATTATACTTTTTTAATTGTATATAATATAAATTTATTTATAAATAAATATTTTTTATTTAAATTAAGAGTGAATTATAGATGAGTTAACCAACCAGTTTGGTGAGTTAAGAAGAATTAGTGGGTTAAATTACCTAAAATCTTCCACTATTTTTTATTGAGTAAAATTAATTGACATGACGAGTCCATTTTATCACCTCATTTATTATAATATAGAAAAAATTAATTATATTATTATACGTTAGAATACATTTTTATTCTAAAAACTTTAACTTAACTTATTTTATAATATAAAACATACATTTCTTAAAAAAAATATTAAAAAGGAATTTAAATATTATATGTATACAACAAAAGCAAGATATACATATATAATTATAACTTGGGGTAGCAATTAGGGATGACAAAAATACCCGCACCCGCGGGTATTCGTGGATAAAACCCACTACGAGTAATAAATGTATATGCTAATTGGGTACCCGCGGATAATGGGGACGGATAATTTTTTACCCGTTTATAAATGGGGCGGGGGCGGGTATGATGATATCCATACCCGTAGGTACCCGTTTAATATTATTTCTTAAATATCTTAATTATCATTTTACCATATAATCCTAAAACTACACTCTCTCATCTCATTTTCTTACAAAAGTGAGGTTGATGAAGTTACCGACATGTATTAAGCATGTTATAGAATTATGTTGAATGTAATTTGATTAATTTTCTAACTTTGATTGGACCAATAAGATTTATGTATTTTAAGTTATTTACTTTCATTTGGAATTATGAGATTGAATTATTGTAACTTTGTGATGAGACTTTAACTTACTCGTGAGATCGATGTATTTTAAGTTATTGATTATCTTGAATTTTTATTATTATTTTAACAAAACTAACGTTAAATAAAAGTTTAAAATTAACATTGAATTTTTAATTTTAATATTTCAATGACATTAAAATATAAACTTAAAATTATTTGTAATATAATTTTTTTAATTTCTTAAAAATTTTATAAATATTCATGGATATCCGTAGATATCTGTGAGTTTTCAAGAAATTCATAGATACTTGCTTAATGGATACCCGCGCGGATATAGAGTGGGTATGGGACCAATTTTCATTCAGCGGGGCGAGAGCGAGTTTACTATTACCCGTCCCATGGACCCCATTGTCATCCCTAGTAGCAATGCAAAAAAAAAAAAAAAAAAGGGGGGGTAGTAGTGTAGTACTAGTAGTGAGAACATGAGTCACCCATATAGTGCATAGGGTATAAGAAGGGTATAAGAGGGGAGAGTGCAGCAGAATTAGGTTACTCACGAACCCTAACAACATCCGACGATGGCGTCCCAAGGCCGAAGAGGTGGAGTCTCTCTCCCTGACAGACCCAGCAATTCAACCTCCATCCTCGCCAAGATCTCCCGCTCCTCCCTCGTCTCCCGCGGCAAGGAAGCCGCCGGCGACGCAGCCTTCGTCGCCAAGAAGCTCCTCCGCAGCACCGGCAAGGCCGCCTGGATCGCCGGCACCACCTTCCTCGTCCTCGTCGTCCCTCTCATCGTCGAGATGGACCGCGAGCAGCAGCTCAACGACCTCGAGCTCCAGCAGGCCAGCCTCCTCGGCACCCCCGCCCCCAAATGAGGTTCCCTCCTTTCAGATCCACTTCTTACCTGCTTCTAGGGTTTCCGCTTTCGCAATAATTTTACTCTTTCTAGGTTTTCATAAACCTTGCCGTCACAAGTTTTGTGTATTCTTTCTTCGTTTACTATATTATCTGTCATTAGTTCTTCGAATGCGGGTTGCTCAGTCTAATTTACCTGCTGCTTAGTGGAATGAATGCCTTTGGTTGGTTGCTGCTGCGCTATTCTATTTTGTGATGAATTTATTGAATAGAATTATAATTAGCTACCTACCTCGTCGAGGAACGGTTCAATTAGGATGTATTTCGCGGGTTGAGACTGGTTTCATGTTGAACATCAACTTTAGCTCCTGTTTAGTTTCTTTTTTTTTTTTTTTTGAAACGTGCTCCGAGTTTATGATTAGGTTGTGTTGTGATTAATCTTGTTCTTTTTGCAAATTTATTGAAGAGTAGCTTTGGATGCTTGTAAGGTGCTTGACATTGGGGATTAATTTGGAAAGGGAAGGTGGGGGAGGTATTTTGTATGTGTGATTGAGATATGAGAGGCTTTGTGTTTTCTAATGATGATGGGTTGTTGTTAAATTGTTTCACTTGACACGAAAACATGAGCCAGAGTGTTTGGTTTAGTCAAATCAATAATGGTAAAGTTGTATGATCATCTGAAAATAGTGGGACATAACGAACACTTGTCTGTTTAATTTAACCCATTCCGTGCCTGCACTGCACATGGTATCATTATTGGAGGCTTAGCTTTCTGGTGACTTCCTCCAAACCCATCATGTAGAAACACCCCATCTCTGGTAACCTTGGCTTACTGGGTTTTGGTGATTATATTTTTAGGATTTTATGTTTATTGTGACATAGTCCACATTCAAGTTCCATTTCCTTTCGATTTTCATTTGTTTTTTTATTCACAATCTTGTGGTTTCCTGTTGAAGTTCAAACTGCATTGTGTGATTTAACAAGGCTCTGCTATCTTCCACTTTCCTATCACTTCATTCTCCTCTGTAGGCTCACTGCCACCAAAACCAATTTTCTTTTTGTTGTTTGGATGTTCTTGTCCACTAGATCTGTAGTTTATGTGGTTTGGTGGAAGCATTCTGCTAGTCCAGTTGTTGTGGCCTGCACTGACCGGAAGCTCTGCCAAGTGCTATCAGCCGCTGATGGTGCATTGGTCTGTCGCTTTCTGATTCTTTTTCCCGTGTCCATTCATGTTGGTTTGCATAGGTTTTGGAATATGAGAAAATGGTGGAAGGAAGTGAAATGTGATATTGATATCGTTCAAGGCCAGTGTTAGATTGACTGACTGTTCCAATTGGGAAAAGCCCTTCGAGTTCATAAGATGGTGGTCAAAGGCAAGGCAAGTGAGATATCAGTTGTGCTGAAGGGCAGTTTGCAAAGAAAAATACAGATAATAACATTAATTATGCATGGTTTAAAATACATTAACAGTTTTTTTTTTCTCATGAAAAGTGCGTGCGGTCAAGCCCAATCAAACTAAACAAGCAATATTACAATGAAAAGTCATTATGGTACCATAGTCCTTGAGGATGCAAAATAACCTTCAGGGGAACATTTAACAGAAAATTATAAAGAAAATCATTATGGTGCCCATATTTGCAAAGCAATATGCTTCGTTGTATATATGGGTCAGCCTGACGTCCCGGATATTCTCTAAAGACCAAATTGATCTCTCAAGATAATGGAATAGCAAAAATCGAAATTTATTAGTTTATCAATTCAGCAGGTTGTATTTCATTCATCCATTCCATTAGTCTATTTTCACATTCAATGGCTAATACAAGAAGGAACACCTGTGGACCGTGGTTGTTTGTTTGTTACTTTCTCCAGTCGGTTGAATAATTGGGGTTTGCAGCTCGCGGTTTCGTAATTTGTTTGTTTGTTGACATATTACATTCTCTGGCGTATTTTTTCAAAAGCGTTATTATTAGCGGAATTTAATTAAAAAATGATATTGTGCGGATTTACTTTTACTTTTAATGAGTTTTACTAATATGATTCGATAGTTTTCAATAAATTTTTTGATTAACAATAAAGATATGTTTCAATGAATGTAGTGTTACTTTGTTTCACGGTGGCATGTTTATTGTTTACTGCTTTCGTTTAAACATTTGCAAGGTAAATTTGATGTAATGTGATTTATGTTTGAATGTATTTTTTATCATAAAAAATAAGTTAAGAGTTTCAGTATATATTTTATTAACCAATACAAAAGTTATCTAAAATTGTTTCAATCCAAAACTAAGTTTGCATCTAGAATTATTTTCTGGAAGTAAACGTATAAATACTTTTGTAAAATCAAATTACTATCATTTCAATGTAATTATGGATTATCTATCATGAATTCAAACACGTTATCAGCTATATGAAGAGTGTGTAAAGACCAATTTGTTATTGTTCGAGAAATTCACAGTACCTGTCCCTTTTTGCTGCCCTAATGTCCATGTTTTCTCTTTTTGCTACATAATTGGGACGAGCTGCCTGTGTATGGCTAGTAGGAGAATATTTGCTTAAATTCATTCTTTTTTCTAAATAAAATTTCATCCCATGTCTTTCTAATTATTTGATAGACAACCTCTACTTTTTAAAAAAAATAAAAATAAAGGAGTTTTAAAAACTATATTAAATTCACATTAAGATTTAGTTAATGTTTTGCATCAACTTGTTTCTTGCTTTTTATATGTATGTATTTTATGAGGGACATTGTAACCATAAAATTACGAGTGACAAAAAGGAAAAGCCAAAATGTGCGATGGCGCTCCCAAATACGAGTCTTATTACAATTTTTAAGAGAAGCAAGAACAAAAATGAAAAGTATAATAGCATGCTCTTTCGTGTGATTTTAATGTAATCTATAGTAATATTAAAATTGTCTAATCATTTGTGTTGGCCGGATAGTATACTACTATTTTTTTTTTCTTGTTACTACACTCACAGTATTGTCTCCCTCACTGACTGTACTTGTGCACGGTCACAGGCTAGTTTTTAATACATATTTTCTACATATTAATTCATTCAAGGGCATTCAGTATCAAGACATTACATGATATATGCAGTCCAATTCTTAATATTGTCACCTTTTTCAGCCCAATCCTCAGTATCATCTCCTTTTTTCTTCAACCTTGACTTGATAACTAAATAACAAACAATTAATAAAGCCAAAGCTCCAAACCCTCCCACTGTAAGAGCTACAGCCCTCCGAGTGCAGTCCTGTTGCCCCGGTGACCCTGATCCAATTAAACACAATATGCAAGCTTTATTACTTAACATGCAAGTAACCACAACCGCAAGGTGCCACAAAAGACATTCTCATCCAAATCAACCCCTTCCTTGACCCCATTTCTAAATCCCCAAATGAAATTAGGCCCAATTTTCAAACTAACGAGAACTATATCAATTCACAAACTCACATAATATTATACATCACATAATTACATTGCATTAAAATAAGGGAAAGAAGATATTTCCTGTATTGTTATACCCGAAAAAGATGACAGTTGGACTCACCCTTGGGGTAAAAACTGTAGCTGATAAAACATTTGTGCAGATAAATTTGTGCAGAAATTGAGTCACCACACTCAGCCTTGGCCTGATCCTCAGCACTCTTCACACAATCCCCACAATCATCATTGCCCAAATCGCCCTCACACTGCCCCAACATATCGAGGGACTCGTAGCTCCCAGTGTAAAACAAGTTTCCACCACTTTTCACACCACTTTCCACCACACCAAAAGCGTAGTCCCTTCTTCTCTCAAACCCATCATCATAATTCTCTTTCTTGGACCCACAAACCTTGTAAAGCAATTGCGTCTCAGGAACTTGCTTGAACCCAACAACCTCGTACCTCAGATAGCACTCAATAAGCTGAACCCTCGCTGCCACCACCTTGCCACACAATTTGTCAAGCATTTCAGGAATCTTGCTCACGCAGTTGTTGCATGCAGAGTTTGAGAGGTCCCCTCCGCATTGGTAGAGACCCATGATCTCATTATGGCCTTCCCCAAAGGTTGTGGTGAAGAATGGCTTTTGTTCAGATTGTGTCACTAGAGAAACCAAGAGGGTTTTGAGGTTCTGTGAGTATATCCCAAATGGGTCGTTCACTTTCTCATCTGCACAACTCTTGTAAACCAAGTTTATGTTTTCTGCATCTGACATAGGATGTAGAAGAATGAAGCATAAAACAGTGAAGAGAAAAAGAAACGAATGGGAGTAGCTTTGGCTACAAATTCGGTGCATGTCATTGGGAGACATGAGGGGAGGACAGGAGCTTCAATTCTTGCACTGTTCTATCAGTTCAATACTCCTCTATGTAGGTTCAGTACCATTCCAAACCGACACTATTTAACATAAGAATAGTAGCAACCTGTGTTCTTTAACTAAACTGTTCAGAATTCGATTCTTGTCTTTGAATATGAAATAGACTATGTAAAGGTTAGTCATTATATGAATACTTCGTTAGAATATGTATACCAAAAAATAGTTACATTCTGAGGTACAGTACGTAACCGATTATTATTCTTTCTCATGAAAAGCGGGCCAAGGTCAAACACTACACAACCATTTTTGGATCAACTATGGCTTAGGCATGTTGTGGAGGATGGAAAGTATCATTATGGTGCCCATATTTGTCATCAAGATAATGGAAAAGCAATAGCCAAAATTTGCTAGTTTATGATTTCATCAAATTGCTTTTCATCAATCCATTCCTTTGGACTATTTTCACAGATATCCAACGGCTAATACGAAAACGAGCACCCAGTGAACCGCGATTATTTGTTTCTTTCTTTCTTTTTCATGTCACTTTGGAGTTTGCACTTTGCAGCTCTGGCTTTCTTAATTTGTTTGTTTGTTGAGATATTATATCACATTTTCTATCGTGCTTATTCTAACACATTGTTATTAGCCGAAAATTATAAAATTATGCAGATTTCACTTTTTATTACCGAGATTTTACTAATGATTTAATATTTTTTTTTTTTAACTTTTAACAATGTTAGAAATAATGTATTGTTAGTTGCCTTCTTTTTTTTTCTCGGAGGTATGTTAGGCTATTTGTAGAGCATGTACAAAGCATTTTATTATGTAAGATAAATTATTTGCCCAAGCCCAACTGTATAGTCATCTACAACACTAGCCTCTTTCAGTTGCCTAATAACGGGCCACTTTGTCTTAAATTATAAAAAGAAAAAGATAAGAGAAAAGTTCAAATAAAAAGCCCCAGCATCTTTTGTTTTCAGAATTTTTTAACATTAAAAATAAGACTTTTTTTTTATAATTATTAATAGGTTAAATTATTATTTTAGTCTCTCTATTTATTTTTAAGATTTAATTTAGTTTCATCATTTTTTAAAATGGTTCAAGTTGATTTTTAATTTTCAAAATATATTATTTTTTTTTGTCCAAATTGATACTAATAACGTTAATATTATTAAATATTTTTAATAATTAAATAATTAAATTAAATATTTTAAAATAATAGGATCAAATTAAATATTTTAAAAATAATAAAATTAAATTAAATAAGAATATATTTAACATTTTTTCGTCTAGATAATATATATATATTTTTAAATACTTACCTTAACAAAATGATGAATATCACAAATTGAGTAGGTATGTTTAGTTTTGTATTTCCGTCTAATTTTATTATCGTTTTAAATGAAAAAATAATATTGGATATTTAAA